AGAATTGAAATCATCGACTCTTCTGCATCAGCCGATAACCTCTTCCTGCTACAAAATCATAATCGACGGGTTTTCATCAAGCTACAAATATGGTAAGCGCGATGATACCGATGGCTCTATTGTGAAGTTTCATGTTTATATTGTAATAACCTTCCACTCCAATCTATAATGTTAACATCTCGCTGTAGATTCGATACTCAAGGACAGGTTCCCAAACTCACGACTTTCATTGAAGATGTCGATAACTGACAAACTCACAATACAATACAGATTTATGTTAACTAAGGCTCACGCATGCGATCCAAAAAAACAAAATCTGGTAAAGCGTCTTGAACGAGGCCACAACCATTGAGCTATTAGAGCTAAAGGACGATAATATATTTCAATAACGCATTCATGATATACAAAAATCTAACCTTCCGTCCCTCTAAGATTGAGTCGATACAACACCGTATCGTAGAGAAGGGGATATCACAAGCTGTATAGATCAAGTTATGTTCTAGCATTAAGTTTAGATAAAATCAAAATGTAAGCCTCGGTTTGAATATGTTTGGAATGTATGATCTTATTATAGATTCGTTTTGTTTTCCTTACTCGTTTAACTTCACTTTAGTATTCCTAATTGGTATGTAAACTGATATTAATTCAAAGTGCCACCATTTGTAGACTTATAACTATAGATATCCAAGCATTGTTCCTGGACTGAAGAGATGAGCAAATGACAAAGAAAGATCTGATATCTGTGGATGTTCGCGTCATCCATTAAATAAATTTTAACTTAAAATACTACAGTCGATTAAACTATACTTACCTTAATTGCATGTGAAATGAGGGGATATACAATGTTTCCCTAAGTGTCAATATAAAAGATAGTTTCCATACTTATATCATATAATCCTAACTAATAAACTGAATATAAGCTTTAGGTAAGTATTTTTTTAACATTTTAGGTATTGTTTCTTGTATCCCCTTAATTCTGACTGGTACAAACAATGGGTGCAATATATAACTTATATGTGAACCACATTAATTAAATAAGTTCATGCATTGCAAAAGATATATCATTTTATGTTCTTCTTTTCATAATTTCAACTGTTAAAGCTGTCTATTGTTAAAATGTTCATGGGTCTACATGGAGTATTAAAATGAGTTACGTAACGAATTTTCAAAACATCTATTTTAATTAATATCAATTTCATTCCATCTTCACAAATAGTTAAAAATATAATTCTTCGGAAAATAGAAATGTTTAAAGGATGCAATCTAAAAGTATGTATGTATATTTCACGACCTGTTAACTACGGTATGTCCACACGTTAAGTCTTCGTTACCGGAGCGTGCAAGTTAATGGCGTAGATGATATTTTTAAACATATGTTTAATACTTGTCGCTTGTCTAGACCCCGCATGTTATTACAAAATGAATTATAAGACATCACTGGAGGACATGGAGAACACAGACCAAACCGAGTCTTATGGAAATATGAGCAAGTGACTCGAATATAAGGTATGTCCTAGTTTACCATGCGTATTTGTAGTGTGAACTATCCGGATTGTAGGCACATATCGCATAGACACAAACATGAACAGAGGTTACGCTTATGTTGAGTGAGGTGTAAACTGAGAGAATATATTATTGCCATTTGGATACAGAAATCTCAACACGTGGTAAGGTTTTCCAGTTCTGCGTGGCGCTCTGATTCACTTCCAGTTCTGCGTGGCGCTCTGATTCACTTCCAGTTCCTAAATATCGATGGATTTTGATTTTGTTTCTATTTCTAAACCTTTAAACCGAATCCAAGTATTATTTCACAGACATTTACGTTACCAACGTACACACAAATTGATGACGCGATTCTCTATACGTGGATACTAGCACTTATATATAGTTATTTTTATAGAGTACGAAGAAAAATCATAAAAGGGTTATGATTTGTGTAGTACGTAGATATAAACTGATTATGAAGTTTAACCACATAAGGTGTCCAATGTTTCTAATGAATCAATGCTCTCTTCATTCCTTTGTGCGATATGAAGCTAGATGTGTTTGACGATCGTTAGTTTGTCTGTTGGTTCCGTTGCTGTATATCTTGTTCTCAACTGAAAACGTGACAATACTTTTCACCGTAATAAATTACAATCGCATTTCACTTTATTGACAATCACATTACTCTCGATCACTTATGAATTTTCAATCGATTACAATCGACTAAGATTACACGATTACAATATGAAAGTGACAATACTTACTAGGATTGACCAAGATTTAAATGACGGGTGTCTTCGATTAAGCAGAAGACATTCTTCCGGAACATCTAGTCTTCTTCTTGTATTTTTCAGGAGTGGCAGTGAAAATCTTTCTTTTATTTATATTTTGATTTGGTTTTATTGAATTTAGAATATATACACCTGCTGGTATTTTCTTGTTTTTTTGTTTTTGTTTTTGTTTTCTCAAAAACAATTACGTTAATATTGATTGTTTTCTGTTTTTGACAAATTATTCCTGAATATCACGTATGACTGTAAATGATACCTATCTTATGGAATAAAATAATGTTATGGCGTATTATAACACTTAGCTTAATTTCAAAATATGGAAATGGTTAATAACATGGAAAATTTTGCTTTTTTTTTGAAAAAAAAAAAAAAAAACAACACGGAGACTCTCGGGAAACAACAATGAAACCATACGTATCCATGAACACTAACGAGCATTAAACACAAGTAATTTCCTATCGCAAAGTGAAACAGGAGTACTTCCCATTGAGATCATGATCATAAAAAATCCTAGGCTATTACAATGTAAACATGAAGTCGAAAAGTATTACGAAATGATAATCACTGCCTGATGTGGATTTCAAAAGAGACTATTGATTCGAGAATATTAGAATATAGAAAATAGACAATTTGAAATAATGATATGGTATCTTGCCAATAATTTATCTAAATTGAACGTGCTTCAAAACTACAAAAGTAGGTGTTGTTTTGAAATCACGAGTCTTAAACTATGTTATCTGTATATGAGTATCTCCTGTGCTCAGTGGTTATACGTTAAAGCTGCCAAACATGGTCCGTCTTTTCACTTTACACCTGAGGTATAATATATATACCGAGAACGTAATTAGATTCATTCCATTTAAGCCTGCCGTAATCGTATTTTACTTCTGAAAATTGTAACGTGTCACCTTTCGTTTAAAATTGACAAATACCAAGATTTTTTGTATGCCAACTAAAAGGTAGTAACATTTTGTAAAGAAAATATGTAAATGGTATCAGCTAAACGCAGAACATCTTTTGACTTTCAATATAATTGAAAGAAAATTAAATGCGTCATTTTTTAAAAATATATCCTTTTACACAGATATTATTCCCATGTTTGAATATTTCCGCATCACGTAGCTTTCATAAAGGAAAATTTTGTACCGTATGGTGTGTACTTATGCCATGTTAAGCGTCATTTAGATATATGTGTATATATATATACTACAGGTATACATGAAAGGTTTAACAATCTGGCTTGTGTAGCATCGCATTATCTCAATTTAACATTACAATATCAAATTATTCACACATTCACTGTGTGTAAAGGAAACATGTGAATAGCACTGAAAAATATAATCTTTGATAATATTTCAGTCAGACATGAGCACAATATCTCTAAAAGGTAGTTGATTATTGATTATGTATTACAATCATTTACTTTCCCAACAAACAATAATTGTGATAACTATCAATCATTTCTCAATTACACATTTGATCTTGTAACATAGGTACTAACTTTAAACAGAAAATTATCACATTAAAAACATTTTATTGATTCTCAAAATTGAAGACAATGGTCAGATTAACTCACTGGCATAGAAAAGGGATAAGTGGTAATTATAATACAAACAATAACCTGATAATAACATAATAATTTTGATAAATTACATAAATAAATTGCAATGCTTGCATTTCAATTTTGTTTTGACAGTTCATGAAGATTGAAATTCTTCAGGAATATCAAAATTCTCCCTCCTGACATATTATATGTACATGTTTTATCCCAACAGGTATAAACTTCACACTGTGAATGCCTTAAACTCAATTCATCTCATTTTGCATGTAGAAAAAACAGGTCTTTGTTATATCAGTATATGGATCACTTGGTTTACATTATCACATTATTTATGTGTGCTTTGGTGCATACAAATTGACACTTAATAGTTACACGCATGTATATCCTAATAAACATAAACACTGCTCCTTTATAGTACTGACTACTGAATTTATCACAGAGTAAATTGGTACCCATCATTTCGTCAAACCATTTTCATTCAGGAAAACAAATATCATGTATTTGAAATGTATATGAATTTTTCACCGTAATAAATTACAATCGCATTTCCCGTTATCGACAAATTTTCAATCACATTACTCTCGATCACTTATGAATTTTCAATCGATTACAATCGAATAAGATTTCAAGATCACAATATCCCAATTTCCGATTTCAGAACCTGAATAATTTCACATCAACGAGATGCCTTAAGTACTTCTGTGTCGTGATGATCTCTTCACGTTTGCCCTCAGCCTATATGTACTAGCTTGGTTAGGTCCTTAATTGAATTAAGAAATAAAATGCTATCAGTCACATTGGTGATGCATATATAGCTGGTAAGAATATAACGATTGATGTTGCTCACTGCGTTCTGACAGCTTTACACTGACACACGTGGTTTGTTAAGGTTAGTGTCCTATCAAAAGCTTTGAAAAAAGGAATTCCCTTCCTTTACAGGCTCCGATTTGGTCATACAATGTTGTCGCTGAGCATCATACATTTCACATATTCTAAAACAAACACTAAAACAATGTTCTATTAAAAGAATTGTCTTTAAGTTGACTTTGTGACATTTTCTGCATTTATATCAATATGAACAAATTCTGTACTGCAGATAGAATAACTATATTTGTCTTCATGATTTGTAGATGGAACAAAAATAAACAGAAGAGTTTTTTAAGATGGAGAAACCGGACGGTGCCTGGGCTTGGGTCGTGGTTATTGCTGCGTCTTGTATCCGGATCATAGTGTATGGTAACACTTACACTTCCGGTGTTGTGTATTACGTCATTCTTGATGTGTTTGGAAAGAGTAGGGCTGAAACGTCTTGGATTGCGTCCGTGATTACAGCAGCGACGTTCGCAACATGTGAGTGTTATCTGTATCAAAGTAAAATCTAAGTAATGATATGTAAACAATTGGCTAAATGAACGTTTTGTTTATCAATGATTAACAATACTTACACATTGAGCTGCGTTCCTTTCATTTAACATTTATAGATCACGATGGCGTTTGGCATGGAATTTGTCTTATCCACTCAACATTCATAAAGAATACCAGTCAAAATATATCTATGTGAATACATATATATTATTTTCACCAGTCAACTAGTTACTCATTATCAGAATTATAATAAGAGTTAACCCGCAGTAGTTTGCAATGTTCCTACGCTGATATCTATTTTCAAAACACCATTAAAAACCAACACACTGATATCATATTTAATTCCTTCGAATGATATTTGTTTCTATGTCCTTCACTTTTGGTCATGGCTTATCTTCTGTAAAGTGTTTATCAAATATAGAAAATTCATCTTTACGTTGTACATTGTTATAAGATCATCCATTCCTTATCACGTCAAAAGCAGAATGAACCCACTGAGCTATCTCGAAGCCATCTTAACAGACTGTACAATGTGAATATAATATAATTAAATCCTTCAAGAATACAAACATTTTCATTGGCAGTCTTTTATTTATCATCACATCTTAACGAGTCGTTGTCATTTTGTAACGTCAGGAGAAAAGAGTCCAAAACATTGCAATATGTGATCAAATGATAAGGATTAACGTCAATTAAACTTTTAAAATCAGCGGCCCTATTAGAGTACCTTTAAGTTTTGAGGGAGGGAGCTTACCCGCAGAAACTTTTATCCCTTTACCATTAAAGAACTGATAGGCAATTTCAAATGATGATGATGATGTCATGTCGTGTGGATATTTTAAAGTGTGTCTGGTTCCATCAGTATCTTATTGATCGTCAGAACATTGAGAGAGTGAATAAACGGTACACCTTCGTTTGGTAAACAATTGAGCATCAACGTTTTCAAGGGTTTATATCTTTTAACAATGAACTTTTTGTCTCATGCTGTAAGTAACTTATGAAAAATATCGACGTATTTACTTTGCGTTGGGCTATCATGTTTTATGCATTTTTATATTTCTTCTTTATCTACAGCAAAATGTCGATATTTCGTTTTCTTCTTCATAAAACCTTAACATGTAACATGTTAACGGTTATCCGACCAAAACATTTATATTTTTACATATACAAAAATAATACCTCGATGTGTTATCGTTTTTTGGTTATAATCAGTAAAGCATCTATCGCTGTCTTCGTTGATATACATGTACATGAAGTAATGTTGTTTCTATTCTCTTTGAGGTATCACAACCGTATAATAAATAAACAGAAAACAAACCGATTAGACAAAAAGTTCAACCTTGTCTACAATTTATGATAATATTTCTTTATTCACATTTCTCATTATCCGCCAACCATTTTCTCTCTCCCAAGGTCCTGTATCAGGGGTATTGGTAAATCGGTTTGGTATGAGGAAGGTAGCATTCGTCGGCGGTATTGTGGCATCCTCTGGTCTCATGGCGAGTTCTTTTGCTACAAATCTGCCTATCCTGACATTGTGTTATGGTGTCGTCACAGGTAACTATATTACACTGGATGTTTGTTTTTTTACGTCTAATGTATGGTAGGATATGTGATACATTTCCAGGCCTGGCTTATGAAGTCCCTTTTTATTTATCATTCAAGGTTATCCAATTTGATTTACAGTACAATACACTTGACAGGTATGCACAACAAAATTTCTTGACCACTAATTATCAGGATTTTCAATATGGCAATGCATCATTTAAGAGATTTGTGAGGCCGTTTAATGATAATTAATTAAGGTTATGGGATAAACCCATCCATTTAGAAAAAAAACAATGGTAGAGACCTAATTTTCTTTAGCAGTATGCAGAATGTTCCGTCATAGGTGTGATTGATTTTGTTTCCTTTGATAAAAATGTACATCACAATATTTATCTTGATGGAATTGAACATTTCAGGAGTTGGATGTGGGCTAACATTTATACCAGGTAGTGTTGCAGTCGCTAGATATTTCACTAAACGGAGGAATATTGCAATGGGTTTTGCAGGAGCAGGAAGTGGGATAGGATCATTTGCATTTCCACCACTCATCAACTACTTGACTGATAGGTATTCTTGGCAAGGCATGTTTATGATTTTGTCTGGGATCTCCTTGAACATGTGTATGTTTGCATCTCTCTACCGACCCGTGAAGTCATCTAACGAAAAGAATGACGACTCACCACAACTAATAGACAAGAAATCCTCGAAAAGACAGAAAAATGTATGGAAGTTCTTAAGATTGGGCGACTTTTATGTTCTTGCTCTAAATAATATGTTGTATCAGTTGGGTTCGACAATAATATATGGACATTTAGGTACATATGTTATTCACCAGCTCCATTTTGAAAAAGTATATGCATCCATGTTATATTCTGTGATTGGAATTACAGTGATGATATCGAAAATTGTCCAAGGATTTATCATCCAAAACCCCAGATGGAAAATTTTCGAACCGTACCAGCAGTATATGCTTTGGTACACTATCGGAGGTGTGTCTGCCATCGTCTTTCTCCTTGTAGACATGGGGTATGCTGGACTCGTGATATTTTCTCTTTTATTTGGAGGCAGTTACGGAGCTTCTGGAGGTTCAATTATTCCCGCCATTCTGATAGACTTGGCAGGAGTTGATCAGTTCACCTTGACATACGGAATTATTCTATTTACTCAGTCCATTGGAATCCTGTTTGGCCCGTTTGTAGCAGGTAAATACTATTTTATGTCATCTATGTAAATGAAAAAAATCATGAAAATACCAATTTGGCAACAGAATCAAAATCAAGGCTCAAAATCCTTAAAACTATTGTCAAATATGAACAAACAAAAGAAAGATTTACATGGAGTCTCCTGAAAAAGTAAAAGTAGAAGACCAGGTCACAGTTGCTCAAAGGTTAGTTAGAGTTAACTCTCTGGATCAAAACGCATTTTCTATCGCCTTTTTCCCCTTTGGTTTGGGAGTGGTTAATATATATATATCTGTAACTGAAGGAAGATCACGAGTTATTTTGTTTTATGCGATAACCGTTAGAATATGAAGCAAATATAATCATTGATTGATAGAGATGTAAAATATAATGTTAAGATAGATGGTCTCAGATTTCTCCTACGCATGCGAAATTCTTTTTCTCGTCAACTACAAAGATGTGGAATGACAAAGATATTAACAATATTCAATTCCTTTTACTCAATTATCAGTTAGACAAAAATAATATTTAACTAATGTTTACAGGTATGGGGTTTACGTAAATTAAACATAGTTATTTTCCAAATGAGAAACCGTGCCAACTCTCTTGATAATAACCTCTTTAGAGTAAATCTAAGTAATACAGCCCGTTGGGCTTACATATCTACGGCGATCCGAAATTAAGAAAAATGGTAATATATTAGACGCAAAATCAGATCAAAATTGTATAAGATGAAACAAGCGGTTTGACTGAATGCGTCTCTCTCTCTCTCTCTCTCTCTCTCTCTCTCTCTCTCTCTCTCTCTCTCTCTCTCTCTCTCTCTCTCAACATAAGATATAATTAACTATAAGTTGCCTAAATGTGCCTTATCGGTTTATTGCTTGTATTAATGTATTTTGAAGAAAAGTACTGTGATCAGTGTTGTGAATAATTTTGTCCAATTATTTTGTAAATATCTATTTCAATGAAATATGTTTAAATCCAACGAATGTTTTCGAAGCGTTAGAACGTTTGATCTATAAAGACTTTCTTCCATCGTTGGAGAAATCTACGTTGTTAGCCGACAAAAATACAGTCATGATCACGATCTCGAGGTTACATTATGTCTAGATAAACGAATATGCCGATATAACCCAATATTAATGAAATAACCCTGACCTTCGTAATAAGTGTCCCTAGATCATACCACATGTCGACAATTTACGCTAACATAAAACATTCAATAAACGGATTAAATAACCCTCTTGGAATCACGCATATAGATTAACATTATGCACAAGACTAAAGACAAGGTTAACGTGCTGAGATGAGAAATCGCAAGAGTGTTTCGAAACTCAGCACACCGTAACACAGACTTAACACATTCGGGAGCTTTCTTTATGTGACAATACCGGCTTTCCAGGAAGTCACACTTTGCTTTGTTTTAAAGACGCGTTGAAAACCTGTTTTTGTATATCAATCTGACCTGTATCAACATACCTATAGCTGTGTAATATCAAAGGATATTCTCATTTTTGAACGATTCATATTTAGAATTTTGCAATAACCACTGATTATCTCTAACCTAGCTTTGAGCAACTTGAGCCAGGTGTTCCGTCCGAGTAAGCGTCTTATGTTTCATCGACGGCACCTGTTATGTTAGCTTTGGTCAATCCAAGTACGTTATGTCTCAAATGGAAACAAGGTATACAACAAGGAAACCAACATGCAAACTAACGAGCATCAAACACATCCAGCTTCATCTTAAGTAAATAAATAGAATGTATCACTATGGCGACTTACCAATCCCTTACACCAAGCTGCATCTTTTGAAACCTCGTGTTAGGACCTTTTTCCGTCAGTCGACGACTTCTTGTTCGAACATCGTGTTAATCGGAACAGGTCCTTGAATATCACATCAACTGTGACATGTAAATCCCATTTGTTGTGGATTCAGGAAAATTGCTATCCAGAAATGGAAAATTCACAATACGGATATTGAAATCATCATGTTTATCATACAGCTGGGTAGAACCCTGTCCGTGTTGGTTTCATTGCTGGAAAAGATCGAGATAAGCAGCTAATGTAAACGAGTTTGTCGTGTCTTGCGGGTATATAAGATGGACGTGGTTAATACATTTCTTGTTATTTACAGACAGGAAATCATGAATATATCTGAAAATGAAATTAAACGTCTTTGCAAGGTCTTTGTGACCTGTTTTAATTAACTCTTCCATAAATTCCGCATTGCATGAAAACAAAACACGATTTCATCCTCCGTATATTTCTTCTACAACTTGGACGTATTTTTGCATTTAAGTATAGTTCATAACCATATATTTATACCGAAGTTCACATTTCTTGGAGGAGAAAGCTCTCACAACAGAAAAACGAAGGTGTTCCTTCAATTCAAGATGGAGTCTGGTGATGTCTTGAATTTAAATAGTAGCTTTCGTGATTCACAATATGACAAGAATATCATAATCTTTAATAGTAATGTGAGGAGTATTAACATATCGCTTAGTGTATTATGTTCTTAATTGTTTGGCTAGATCATTATTTACAATGTTTATACTGTTTCAGGTTTGCTCTTTGATACATTGAGAGCATATGATGCTGCATTTGTTTTGGCGGGAGTGTTGATGATACTCAGTGCCGGTATCATGATCTTCCCCTGTCGGAACTATAAAGCGGCAGACAAGACGGCTGACGGCGCGACTGTTGTCATAGATCAGCATGCAGATGACATCGAGGCTGCCAGAAAGGATGCTATCGAAACAGATGAATTGATTGGTGCTACCAACGATACTATCAAATCTACTCTGAAAAAACGTACACATGTCGTATCGGAAAACGAAGAAGAGGAGGCAGAAAGTTTGGTCGAATGAACATGGAAAATACAGGGCTAGTATTAGTGTCTAAACCATTTCAAAAATAATTTTCTGGAAATACGCAAGAAAAGTTATTTGTATCAGATTAAAATCATATTTGTTTATTTTTTTCACATTCTTGAAGAATAATTGAAAAACCACCTTTCTTTATTACAGGATTCAATAATGAATATATAACTTAGATTAGATCAATGGCTAAGATATATTCAAACCAATAATATCACACATGTACCAATCTGAACAATTAAACTCCGACTACTTAACCATCATTTACAGGTTTACTCAGAATCATAGAAGCTTAAGTGACATCCTTGTAATGAAGGCACTTTTGATTATTATCTATAAAATGTATATATTGAAACATTGGGCCAGTATGACAGACCGAGGTCTCATAACTAGGCCAATATGAAATTAACCGATTCAGTTTTGGGCCAAAAAGACAGACCGAGGCCCAATAACTAGGCCAATATGAATTTAACCGACTTAACTTTGGGCCAGTATGACAGACCGAGGCCTCATAACTAAGCCAATATGAAATTAACCGATTCAGTTTTGGGCCAAAAAGACAGACCGAGGCCCAATAACTAGGCCAATATGAATTTAACCGACTTAACTTTGGGCCAGTATAACAGACCGAGGCCTCATACTTAGGCCAATAAGAAATTAACCGATTCAGTTTTGAGCAAATATAACAGACCGAGGCCTCATAAGTATAGGTCAACATGAAATTAACTGATTCAGCTTTGGGCCAAAAAGACAGACCGATACCTCATAACTAGGCCAATATGAAATAAACGCCTCAACTTTGGGCCAGTATAACAGACCGAGGCCTCATAACTAGGCCTATATGAAATTAACCGATTCAACTTTGGGCCAGTATAACAGACCGAGGCCTCATAACTAGGCCAATATGAAATAAACGACTCAACTTTGGGCCAGTATAACAGACCGAGGCCTCATAACTAGGCCAATATGAAATTGACCGACTCAACTTTGGGCCAGTATAACAGACCGAGGCCTCATAACTAGGCCAATATGAAACAAGTGATTAATGACACCGTAATAATTTATGCATATCTGTAATCATCAGACGCTCTTCACAAAACCCTTTTTATGTAACTAAATGAAACATTTGTATGTAAATAATTATTTTGTTTATGATATTATATTGACTCATAATGAGTACATCTGTTACTTGCATCAAGTTCATACTTATATTTGTATATAGCATTATATTTCTGTTTTTTTTTTTGTGGTAATTGTGTTTTAAGTCCTCTTAACATCGGACGACGTTTGGGGCAGTTTCTAGTAGAATTGGTATTCATTGTTGCCGAGCTCAATTATACAGTAAAAGGATTTTGTCCTACATCAGTCGTATTGCACCATAACAATCAAGGGTTCCGTTCTCGACCTACATTTCGTCATTTCACTGGCTTGAACGATTTGTTGTAGCAAAATCACAATAGTCAAAGTTTCTTTACATATCAACATGTAGATAACAGAATTATGTTGCCCTTTGATATAATTCCTACTTCCTGCGAATGAAGAGTTTTCTAAACACAAGATATATTGTGAGCTAGTTCTTTCTTTGTTTTTGTTGAGGAGAAGGGAGAGGGATCAACATATAAATGTATGTCTATAATTAATATCTGTATCGTAATATCTGTATCGTAATATCTGTATCCAGCATATATATGTATGTGAGCACGATGATTATGTATACTTTCAGTTCCCAGGAGATGCATTACATAAAGATGTACTTATGGTAAACGAAATCCTTAAAAATGTTTTCCCTAGCCTGGTTAACCGTGTCGATAGCTTGGCGGTCATGGCTAGCGTTGTTTTGACCAACATGCTGTCTAGGCTCGCGGTACGATTGATCAGGCTGGTTCCTATCACATAAATGTATCTGTAATATCTGGTTTGTGTTAATGATACAGGTGTCGACTTGGTGTCATTTTACTAGCATCGTGTTCTACATAGTGCATTTCACTAGACTTATTCAAATATGTTGTTCTCAATATTTGTAGTCCTTTCTATGACAAGTTTTGTATCTTGTCCGATCGTAAGAGTTATATCCCCTAGTAACACGACAATGTATCATAAAACTTTGTATTTTTTACTATATCAGAGCAATTGTTATTTTTTTCTTTATATATATAAATGTGTTGTGCAGTACACTGTCTTAAACGAGGATATGTGGGTAATATTTGTGCTTTGTAATCGTCGTTCTTTAATTCTTAATTAGACGCACCCTAGAGTAAGTGCGACTATGATCTCCGCTTCTTGTCTGTGTATCACGATGCAAGTGACAAAGTCTGGTATGACGTGATGCCTGACCTATACTTGCGATGGTAGTCAAATTCATTAACTTATTAGCTAATATCATCGGTTTTATTCCAACTTGATATTGCTGCCACTTACTGATCAACATGTAAAGTTTTATGTATAAATTTATATTCTCATCATCCATAACCTTACTTGGCGACGGGTATGTATTGGAATTATGAAAAACATTTGTCAATACTATTTTCTTCAATTTGGGTTTTATCCTCATTGATATAACTGATAAAATTCGGTAAGCTTCAGTTGGCTGCGACATATAACATGTATAACAGCCGATATTGCTTCATGAGCTACCCCCCTTGGCAATGCAAAAGTTGTTCATTTCATATATGAGTGTACAACTCACATACATACTATACGTTACATAATACTATTGTAGCGACGCAGGTCGAGGTGACTGCAGAGTAATTTTCTTACATTTTGGTTGTTGCGCTCATATAATCTCAATTTGCTGTGTACATACATATATACGGTAAAAAAATTAATGCTATGGTTACATAAGACGGAATCCATTTGTCAATTGTGTTGTTGTCTCTTATGAAAATGTTATGTACAACTAATCGTGTTATGACTTCTCAAATCAACATCAATGTGAGAGCAAATTATTACTCATAATCGTTCTGATTATCTGAACTTAATGTCACTTTTGATGTACATTATTGTATATAAGTAATCCCATAGAATTAAGTGTTAGACTGTGCTCCTTTGTCCTGTTATTTCATCGTTTACTTTACTTACTGAACTGCATAGAACTTTTTGTTATTAATATTATTTTTATTATAGCTGCGAAAGCTAGTGTTCATTCACAAAGTTTAATTATTGAGCGATTTTTTTTCTTAGAAACGATTATTCTCTTTTTAGCAACTGATGTGTTTTTCCTTAGTTTAACTTCTTTGCCCTTAAAATTCCAAATATTTGTTATAGTAATTACGTAGTTAACTTACTTATTCCTTCTTTTTGTAATATGTAATTTATTTTGTACCTCCTATGGCTGACACTATATGTACGATGTTTGGTTATGTTAACAGTGATCTCATGAATGCACTATTAAGTCCTTTTGATTTTTTTTCTTCTTTCATCATACCAGTGATGACTATTATCTTCTCTCTCATCCTCACTCTTATTACTTTTCTATTTTCTTCACCTATTACCACTTATGATCAAATATTCATTTTAAACATGTCGCCCCTTTTTAAACATCCCCGGTTGGCTTTGTTTCATCATTACGCTACGGTTCACTCCAGGATCATTCACTTTTGTTCTATATTATAATTTGTGTTGTTCTAGTCTTTTTTCCACTGTAACTATGAAACGTCAGCGACAACCTTATTCTATGTATTGTTTTGTTTTTGATATAATACTATACATCACAACAAATCGTTTTCATTAATCCAGCTTTGCGAAGAGTCTTACTTTTATTGTTCTTGTACTTAAGTGGTTCTGAACCCACAATAATTTGTCAGTTTTTTGTCTCTTTTTGTTCATTTGAATGTCCAAAGTCTACGACCAAAACTTGACCATCTCTTTACTGAATTGTATAACTATGATATCTTGTCGTTTACTGAAACATGGTTGAGCGATAATCAAAGTAACAACGATTTAGAATTAACCGGTTTTCAGAAACCTTTTTGTCGCTATAGGCCAAATAGAATAGGTGGGGGAGTTGCTGTTTATATAAAGAATGACTTATTCGCTAAAAGGCGTAATGATATCGAAGTAGGTAATCTTGAGTGTATTTGGATTGAAATTCTCTATAGAGGGCAGAAGCTACTATTTGGAATTTTTTATAGGCCCCCTAACTCCGATATTAACGACTGGGACTTGATTGAGCATTCTATTGACTTAGCGTTTAACACTGGTATTGATGATATTGTTATTACTGGCGACTTTAATTCTAATATGCTACGTCCTAACCCTCACCGTACTAGACTAGCGAATATTATACAGCTCTATAACATGTCACAGATAATAACTTAACCTACTTTTTATTCTGAGACCAACTCTAGTCTTCTCGACATTGTCTTAGTAAGTAATGATTCTATTGTTACGCGTTCATACGTAGGTGAACACTTCCTTGAGCAAAATACACGATATCATTGTCCGATATACGGTTTTCTTCGTGTTAAGAAACCCTTTATAAACTGTAGTAAACGTAATATATGGTTGTTCAAACATGGTGACTACGTATCATATCGAAGAAAACTTTCTGATGTTTCTCGGGATGAAGTTATTATTCCCAATGACCCAAACGAATCTTGTAAGAATGTGACAGAAAAAAATATTAAGTATCGCTCGCGATTGTATACCCTATAAGTCTGCAGTAATAAGACCACTTGACCCGCCTTGGATGTGCAATAAAATCCGTCGACTCATTCGTAAACGCAAACGATCTTACAAAATTGCCCGTTCTTCAAATTCTCCTTCTGACTGGTTGAAATTTCGACGCTTAAGGAATAAGAGTGCTAATGCATGTAGAATTGCTAAGAAGAAATAGTTGTGTAAACTTACCGCTTCCCTCCGCGACAAAAATAATCTGTATCGAAATTCTTGGTGGAATACTATCAAATCATTTATAGGCATTTCCAAAAAGTCAAATTCCATTCCTGCTTTATTATGTAACGGTATCCAGTACGTATCAGCTGGTGATAAAG